TTTTAGAATTAGTATTACAGTTTATATTATTAATATTCACATTTTCCGGTGAAGGGCTGTGCGTGAAGAGGAAACTGAAAGTTTTCTTTGGGTACGATTTCGCTTCTATTATTGTAGGACTGAGACAGTTGTTTCGAAATAAACAGTAATCATATCGTTGTACGAGACAGCGAAAAACGTGACCGCACTCGAAGGCTGTCCGCACGGAACTGGTATAAGTTTATCAGTTATATTTTGGACTTAGAAAATAAACGAGTTGAAACCGCGTATTTCCTAGATACTTAGAATATGTTTTTATAAGAATATTCTGGTTCATAGAAATAGCTTAAACTTTTAATTTTAAAGCTCCCCACGCACTGCATCGGTGGTTGTAAAATGTCTTTGTTTTGGCAGTTGACTCATTTTACCACTACTACAGCCACCGCTGTATTGTGTTGGGACCTTTACAATTTTGAATTATTTAAATAAAAACAATTAACAAATTATCCAGCGTGGTTAAATAATAAATGACAAGCATAAAGTCTATGAACGTAAGATGTGAGGTTGTTTCAACCATTACAATGGTAAAACTATCACAATGTGACTTAAGAATATCATAAATAGTACCTATAATAGAATAAACTAACTTAAGTATTAATGTTAAACCACAGTCGGCATAAATTAACTTCCGTGAACGGTATGAGAGTAATTAATAATCAGTAAAAATAAGATATTAATTAGCTGGAGAAATGAATCTTAAAACAATCAAAGATCACAGGTGTTAAGTAATAATATAAATGAACATTTTCAATACTTTAAAGTGACAAAGACAAACAAAGAAAATAATGGAGAACAAGTTGCCGGACTATTGAATTTAATAAGTTTAAGGTCTTCATGAAAAGAGGATGATCTATCAATGTGAGATGTAGTATATTAAAGAGGAATAAAGAATATACAGTTCAGTGAAGAGAAGTTGAAGCTAAAGAAATATCAGAGGGTCTTATTTATTATAGAACACCAAAGACATTAAGGAAATATGAAATTAAATTGCTACATAAAACCCATTCAGGTAATTATAAAATATATAAAATAGCAAGGGAATTATTGTATTGGCCATTTATAACATTTGAATTAAAAAAAATTACAGGACAATACAAAAAAAGTATTAGATAGGTAGGTACTCAAAAACACAAATAAAGAGAAAACATTAATTAATCACTACATACCTGAGATACCACTTAATAAAGGAGTCACTGGTATAACTGAATATGCTATGCATAATTTCCTTCTAACGGTACCATTTTCAAAAAGTAGAAATACTAAAAAACAAAACTTCAGTATAATTATTAATAAGATTAAGAAAATATTCAGTACTCGTGGTAAACCAGAAATAGTAGTTTCTGATAAATGATAATATACCGTTTGATTCTAATGAGTGTTAACAATTCTCGAAAGAAATAAATTTTACCATTACAACATCATCAGAAAATTGTCCTCAAAGTAACAGCTAACGTGAAAAGGCATTAGGAATTACTAAAAATATGCTACAGAAATGTTAAAATGTATTGACTTTGTATCATAGAAATTGAATTATAATAAAAGTTTAAATTGAAAATGTTTACTGTCAAGTAGTTTTTGAAAGAGTCTTGTAAAACAAAAAAAAATTATAATTTAAATCGTTTTTATTTTTTTGGTGTAACTCAAAAACTAATAACAGTGCATACTTGAAATTTGTTATACCCCTAAGTGATAATAAGGGTTGTACAGAAAAAATAAAAATAAAAATAATATTATTACTAAAATAAAAATAGTGTATTATACTTTGGTTGCTATTGATTATTCGGGAATGTTTGTTGATTTGTATTATTATTTTTTGTCAATATATATATATACAGGTGATTCAAAATGTTTTTTTTTTTCTTTATTTGAAATAAACAAACTATACAGTTTTTACACAATAAGTTTATATGCTGAGAGTTATTTAAAGACATGAAAGTTTGTGAGTTAAGCAACCACCCATTAGTGACTCTTGGCTTTGATTAGTTAGATTTTTTTATGTTTTTTTTTTTTATCGTTAGACGTTAAAGTTTTCTAAGAGGTCACGGCACCAGTTCCTTTTTAGTCTGCGATTGGGATTTCCTGGGAGAGTGAGGATGGAAAGATCATTTATGAGAGGGTTAGGATGAGTTTGGAGTCGTTTATGGAATCGTTTGTAGGAAGTGCGTGCTTCCTCAGCTATTGTTTTCATATGGAAATCATTATGAAGAGCGTGGTTTGAAATATAGGGCGGAGCATTTGATAATCGTCGGAGTGAAATGTTTTGGAAAGTTTGTATTCTGTTAGTATTTGATTTTTTTGCTGCGCCCCACAATTGAAGTCCATATGTCCATATTGGTTTGAGTATGCTCAGACCTTTACTAATTAGAAATAAGAACTCCACTCTAAACACCAAACTAACAATCTACAAAGCGCTACTCAAACCGATTCAAAATGTATACCAATAAATTAATGTTTGTGTGTAGATTAGACCTCTGGGAAGAAGATAGGCTAATTGTCAAGCAAAAAATAAAATAAAAATAATAGTGCATTATATATTGGTCGCTGTTGGTTAATCGGGCATGTTTGTTATTGATTTGTATTATTATACATATAATATATATATAAATGAATGTTTGTGGGTGGATCAGACCTCTGGAAAGAAGATGGGCTAATTTAAAAAGTATTAAATTTGGTTTATTTTTTATTCATCGGATTTTAGTACGGTTAGGTCAGGTTAGGATTTTGTATTAATTGATTATATTAATCCACCTTAGGTTGGTATAACTTTGATACTTTAGAGTCAAATCATAAACTTATGTACAATCAGCACGAGCACGGGGTCCGCGATCTACCACAGGTAGATTGCCTACCTGATAATGTACTGCTGAGAATCAGAATTTTTATTCCAGGCAACAGAAAAGTTCAGATAAATCTAGATTATCATACACCTGAACAAAGTTTGAGTCATACACAATTACTACATTTAACGGGTAACGAAGTGCACGGGATCAGCTAGTAACAATCTAAAAATATATCCAGACTGACAAACCGTCTCCGCTCAGAATTGTTTTTCTTATACAATGATATTATATCATTGAATTCAAGTTATATACTATCCATTATACTTTGACCCACGTGTAACCTATTGTACAGCAGAGGGACATCCACTTACCCACTTTCTTTTTATATTAATCTTGATAAAAACATTTTCACTTAATTAAGAAGCTTGAAAATGTAATGCAAGGTTCCTCATAAGTTTATTTAATGGAAGTTAAAAAATATTAAACATAGTTACGATTATTTTGTATATGAATTCCCTGAGGATTTTCCATTTTTATAAGTTTTATTTTAACTATTAATTAAATTTGATTATTTATACATGTATGCAAGTATGCTAGGATGACGTCTCCGCTCAGAATCGTTTTTCGTATGCAACGATTTATTATTTAATTATCAAATATAATACATCTATTACAACGACATCCTCAACAACTTCTGTACACCTGAGTGGTACCCACTTATCCACTTTTTTTTGCATTTATTTTTCATCGAAAAAGGTAAAAACATATTTCATGTAAATATCATAATAATATAACAAAATGGACATGCGTTCGAACCATAATCACACGAGTAGTCTTGTATGATAAGTCTAAAATACTAGTGATATCTGTTGACGACTGTCCTAAATACATTATTAATATAGTGACTACTGCCTATTTTAAATATAATTAGAAAATGTAGGTATTTATATTTTCTCCTTAATCACATTATCATTATGTGATGATATTATTACCATCTGTTATTTGATAATAATAAAATCGTCAGAACAACGGGCCTAATTTTTTATTTACTCGTATACACTGTGTTTTCTGCAATGTTATAGGTACAATAAAATCTCCATATAACTGCCATAAGATGGAAATCTACTTACAACGGAAACTAACAACATTACCGTATAACTTATGAACCGTATTTCCACCTTATAAAGGAAAAAGCAGATGGTATCGAGAGATTCCATTATATCAAGGTTTTACTGTAATATGATATAAATAAAAGAAGTTACCTAACTTTTAACTTTACTTAAGTTATTTTTATCTTAAAAATGTGTGACTTAACTTAGTTACTCAAATTAATTTATATTTCATAATTAACATTGACTAGTTACAAAAATTGGTTAACTTTCCCAGCTTTGGACAAGTGTAAACAGAAATAAAGGATTTAGAACAGGAGATAAAGTATAGGCACAATATGTAAAAAGTAAGTCTGGAGTAAAAGAAGCATAAGAAAAGTATTACCATAAAGGTCATATTTAGTAAAAATTTATAAAAATAGTTACGTAGTGAGGAGACGTGAAATATTTATTAAAAAGATAAAAATATTTCAAAGATCAGAAGAAGAAGAAATTAAAGAAAAAGAACAGGAAAAAAAGAGGAACTCGTGGTAACAAAAAATCACAAAGAGAAAAGAGTTCATATTCGATATGGTTCAAATATTTAAAAAAAAAATGTTTAGTACAGTATTATTATTATTAAGTTTACTGTTAGATTAAATATATATTAATTTTTTTCTGATTGATGTATTATTATGTGTAACGTATAAAAAAAATTTCTGTTTTTATTATGGTGTAAAAAAGGAGGCAAGTGTGGTTAAATGATAAGTACAAAGTGTCTATAGGAGCGTAAGATCATATAATGTGAGGTTATGTAAACTATTACAAAATAATGTGTTTTAAGAATATCGTAAGTAGGTAGTATATAGAATAAATACTAACCTAACTGATGTATTAATGTAATAATGTTAAATTAAATAATAAAGAAACAACAAACAGTGTACGCAAATCATCACACCCTATGCAATAAACAGTGCCTGTACGAGGGAGATTGCTTCACATAATACATTAGTACCACATAGATACATTTAATTAAATTCTAGTGATGATATTTGAGCTTATGATGATTATGAAGTATTTTATAAAAAATAATTTATGAAATAAATGTATTTGATTCATTAAAATATTTACTTCTGAATTTTGGCTCTGCAATTTCCGCAGAAAAGTTGGGTACGATAACACACACGACTCCAGCGCCAAAACCTTGTAGGATTCGTCCCATGTATAGTACTGCCAATACACCCATTGAATACACAATTATGACGGATCCACAGAAGGTAAAAATCATCCCGATGACAAGTACTAGTTTAAGACCCACCAATGACGCTAAAATTGCAGCAGGTCCAGCGCTGGTAATTGCTCCGAGAAATAGAAGATCTTTCAACATTTTCGATTGGTACTTTTCTATGTCTGTCGAACACCACGTCCACTCAAAACACATACCAATCGTTAATGAACATGAAGCTACTAAATAATAAAATAATAAAATCAAAAGATTACATTTTTATATTTTAAAAAAGAAAAAGAAAAATAGGAATCATATTCATTACTAAACTAATAATAATAATAATAATTAACAAGTTGATGTTTGAGAATTTTTATCCCACCGGGAGTATTCACCAATGTTTCATTATAGATATTCCCTATATTCCCTCTGTATGAGCAATACATATGAAAAAGCTTTGGTTAGTAATAATTCAAATGAGATTTATTAACATTATAAACTAAGATAAGTAAACAATAGTATGTACCTACTCGATAATTTTAAAAACAACAAGTTAATATTTAATTTAATTTCAAAAATGTCATCAATAGAAAGGTACTATTTTTGTTATAGCAGCACGAGAAGATTTCAACTCTAATCGAATTCATGTACTTTTCAATCGTATTCGGTTGGAGCAGAACAACTGAACATTTTCATTTATATCTCCACGAATCAAAAAAAAATATTTGCAAAATGTGATAACCTATTGATGAAAAGGATATTTTTTTAACATATTTAATGATTAACGGAGAGTTTTTATGTAAATTGTAGGTAATGTCAACATTATATTTATTAGTAATAATGCATGACGAATTTACTGGAATTAAGTATATCCTGTTCATACTTTATATCATACAAACTATTGTATAAATGTTATTAAATTCAGATTCCGATACTGTAGTTTTGTTGCATATTTTATTAAGTAATCGATTTCAGTGTACTGAAGTGAATAGTGATATAGGAATTCAAAAAAATGGGTTTATCGGGCTATACACAATATGCACTAGGTACTGCACATCTATATTAATTAAATAGGTAATTGTAGTTTTTAAATGTAATAATCCTGTGATAAGACAAAATATCGCCATAAAATATATTTACATATGAAGTCTACAGGTAGGTTTGTACAAACAATAAAGTATAACACATTATTATAAATAAATTAATATTAACGATAAAAGAAAAATGGTTGAAATTGTATCTAACGAGGACTTCAGTCCTAATCAACCTTCTTACCCATTTGTATCCAACCCTAATTACATCACTTATATAATATAATTAGATTGCTCCATAAACTTAATAATGGTATTATTATTCTTAGTTAATTAAAATGCCTTAAACATATTTTTTTTCTGTATTTTTGGTTGGCGGGCACGTAGGTACACAGAAATATAATTCGTGTTATAATAAATAATTTTTTAAAACATTTCTAGGAATGAACTCTACCATCCCTCAATCACTAATTATGTATACTTATCTGTGATTCAGTGTGTATAACTATTAAAGAAAAATTAATATAATTATAAACTTTATCCTCACCCAAAATTGTATAAATAAATTGTCGTCTTCTGTTCTCTAATAACACTATAAGAGGTTTTCTTGACGAACATCCTGACATAACTGCGTTGTAACCGTACTGTATAATTACAAATATGAATTATAATTATTTTTATAATTAAATTACATTTTAGCAAACATTTTTTAAAAATAATAATTATTTAAACATAAATATAAACAGTCTATCGGTATCAGCATTAAAACATAAATTATCGTTAACCAGATACATTTTTTTTTTTTATAATAACAAATCAAATATAGTTATTTTTAATGTATAAGAAAAAAGCGGACAAGCGTACCGCTCTGCTGTACAGTACTAGTCTATTAAATTATTTTAATGGATACTTTAAATTTCAATTCAATGATGAATAATTGTATGCGAAAAACCATTCTGAGCTGGGACTGTGACAGCCTAACATACTCGTATAGCCTAACATAATCAAATTTAATAATAAAAATCAAAATTATCTCATGGCTATAAATTGCGTTACTTTCCGTTAATATTTTCTTTTGTTTAAGAGAGAAATGTTTATAGAGAATCTTCTATTACATTTTCAAATGTGAACTATATAAAACAAAATGTTTATGAATTTCTAACTGAACAATAATTTCCAGAATTTCCTGATTTTGAACTTCAGACAATCATAAAAAAATATTGTGGATTTAAGCTCAACTTCTTTTTTAACAGAAGTCCTTTTATAGACTTTGTAATGATTAAGACAATTCTATAATACTGCACTTCAAAAATATAAATTATCTATAGGTACAGTTATATTAATTGATAATAACTCATTTTTTCGGAAAAATATGCAAAACTCGCTGGAATAACATTAGGGATAACTATCGTAAATCTATTAAAAATACAACAAGTGGTCAGGCATTTAAAAGAATTAAAAAATATAAATATGATGATCAGCTTCAGTTTTTAAAGGCTCATTTACAAGAGAGATACTTTAGGAAATTTAAAAGATGTGAATAATGATGATTTGGAGAATTCTAATAATGACAGTAAGGATGATGTCGAAAATGTTAGCACAGTTCAAAATATTGAGATTGGTATTAGTGGCAATACGGATGGTGAAGATCAATTACCAAAAACTCCAGAATCTCAATCTGCAATTCGCAAATTTACAAAAAAACGTACAACCAAAACTCCGGAATCACCAAAAAATGCAAAAAAGAGAAAATTATATAGCTAATACTACACAAACCCATTCTGTTGATGCTCTTTTAGCAGGCCTTTCACCCACACTCAAATCATTTACGCCATACTATTTAAACATAGTGAAATCAAAATTGTTTTCTATAGTTCAAGAATATGAAATGCAAATGATTTTTGACGAAGAAAAGAAAAAAACAACTTTTTTGACACCATATCCCACACATTTTCTACCACCTCAGCAACAGATTGTTCGAGAGTATAATCAAAACTTTCCATCAAGTTCTTCACAACATCTTAACCACAAGACTTATCCTAGTACTCAATTGCAAAACGATATGTCATCACCAAGTGTATCAAATTATTCTTCTTCACCACCTTCTCCATAAGTTGCTTCAATTAGTAATACGAAAAATATTATAGAAATGTCACATGATATTAGCTCACCAACTACATCTGTATATTCATCTACACCATCTCCACAGTTCGTTCATCAATTTGGGTCAAATAGTTCTCAAAACTCTACTAATGAACCTGTGCCAAACGATACTTTAACACCAACTTCACCCGGAAAAAAAAATACTATTATTTTATAGTTATATTTACTGTATTATTGATTATTATAACTAGACTAGCGTAGTTTAAATAACTATAATAATATAGTAACATTAAAAATAAATAATATAGTTAAACTACCTATAATATTGATTAGTTTTACAAATTATTATAGTTTAATTTGGTAACTATAAAATGTAGTTAAATGTATGTTATGTTGGCAACGATGATATTACTATTGTTTATAGTAGGATCAACTATAAAAATAAGTTGGTTCATATTTTGTGATTAATAGTTGTGTAATATTCTTGCTTACTACAGTTGTTCCGAATTTCCGATTATTATTTTTTATTTTGTTGTGAAGTTCAAAATTTAATTGACTACAGTTTTCAGGTATGTAGACTTTAATATTTTATTGTAGTGGAGTAACTAAGAGAGGCCATGGCCCTCCCTAATGGTCGTTTTTTCATGGGGGGTTAAAAGGTACATGGGCATCCTGGGCATTAAAATCCCAAATACATCACTCAATCACTGTTGCCTATTTTCTTAGCTATGCCACTGTATTATTGATAACTTGCACGTACGAGCTTGAAGTCAAAGCATTACCACATGGTGCATTACCCATTTATTATTAAAAACTCTGGACCGTTATCACTTTTCTGGTCCACACGTTTTGAAGCAAAACATAGGGAACTCAAAGAAACAGCTCATTCTATTACATCAAGAAAAAACATAACTTTGACTATATCAATGAAACAGCAATTAAAATATTCATATAAGCTTTTAGCAGCAGAACCAAATTTATATACAAGTAATATACAAACTGGTCCCATTATATCATTATCGAATGAGTTAATTCAACTTTATATTCTAAAAACATTATTCCTTTCCGAAAAAGTACATTTTTCTAGTGATGATGTAATTTTTGTTTCATGGGTTTCCATAAAAGGAATATTATACAACTGTAAAAATATGTCTGTTGTTTTATACTTATGTGAGGAAAATAATTATATGTTACCATCTTTTGGCTTAATACAGTCAATTTGCATTACCAATTTAAATAAACCATTTGCAATTTGTAAAAAATTTAATACTCAATACTTTGACGAACATTTCCAAGCATTTAATGTAATCTCTACACAAAATGTAATATGTATTTCCTTAACTAATTTAAAAAACATTTACCCTACACATCTTTGTACTATTTCTAATGGGTTAACATTTATGCCATTAAAAATATAAGCATAAATGTTTAATTATTATTTTATTAAGTGTAAACCCCCTTATTATTTTATACACATACTAGCCCTCCGGTCTAGCCGGGGGGACCCCCGGATCCAAAAGTGTTACTTGTAAGTAAGTACCTATTTTGGAGACATAGTCGAATTATAATGAAGGTGATAGGTTGGTAGTCGGAGGTGATTTGGTGATAGGAATTTGAGATAAGACTCTCTGGCTCTTTGGCGGTCTCGTTTCAAAGGCGGGAAAGTTTAAAAGTCAAGTTTTAATGTCTAGAAATCTCCCATGGTCCATGAAAGTCGGCAATACAATGATACGATTCCCCAACGTATATGTCCGGTGCTTTTCCGTAGCTATGTATAAATGTAAAAAATGTAAAGCCGAAAACCGTGTTGGAGTGTCTAGCAAGTCAGTAACCTGAATTCTGAAGTGAAAATCGATTAACTTTGAAGTTGTCCACCTATGTGTGCTACAGAAAATCAGGTGGGCAGATATTACAGACATTAAACGGCTATAGCCTATAAGTGAAACTCGACTACCATCTACCTATATGAATGATGAACAATCCGACTACAATTTACTGTAGAATGTTAATGATGTAATCGAGTGATAACGACAAATGGCCCATCCATTCTTTAATATCTATGTTTATGTATGGCTGATAATGATTAGTGATAGCGCTTGGTGGTTTGGCGGGAATGTTTAAATTTTTGAACTTTTGGTGTCAGTGCTGTTTTCCGTTGTCTTTTTTGTTTGTGAAGCAAAATGTCAAGTTTAAAATCGTGTTGGAGTGTCTAACAAGTGGATGCCTCATGTAATATTCGATGTACGTTCATCGAAGTCGCACAGGTAGGTACTCCGAGGTCGTCGATCGCGTACAATTTTCAACGGTATATCAGGTATGTATTGCAGATAGGTACTTTAGTTTAAATGTCACAGTAATAGTTTAAATATTACAGCCATCGTCAACTAATATAATATGGATCGTACGCGGTTATACCTTGCGTATACGTTAAAAAATGAGTATGTCTATTCGTGTATTCATAGGTATGATATTGTTCACATAATAATTTCTGAAGGGAAAAATTATGTCAGCGTAAAAACGTATAATTCGGTCGAACGGTGTGTAATGACCAATAATGATGATGTCTAAGGCGCGTGTATCGTGACGGTCTCTGTTTGTCTACCTGTAGTCACTATCGATCTCTCTCACACGAAGCTTTCGAGTTATCGGGTAATTGTCTATACCAGGGATTCTCAAACTGTGGTACGCGTACCCCTTGGGGGTACTCAAAATTTTTTAAGGGGTACAAGTCTGGCCAACAAACCTTTAAATTAAAATAGAGAAAAAAATTTTAAAATCCAAGGTAACATTTGTGAATTTTAAATTAAAATGGCGTATCTAACTGTGTGTGCGTTATTTTCTTATCGTGATTAACGATTTTATTAGCGATTAACTGGTACGTGTGTACGGACGCACACAAATAAAAATAGAACACGGGTTATCTTGTGGGAATGCCCAAACCAACGCAGTTCGTCTGCGGCGGTATCACTACAGTAGTAGGTATAGCCTGTTATTACAAGCTCGCTCACAGTATTGTGTTGCGTGTTGTTTTGTGTTGTTATACGGATACTCAATCCTATTCAAACAATTGTTCAGGCTTGTTGACTCTGTTTATAGTGAGTACAGTACTTAAATATAATATTGTAATTATATAATTTTGTATATAAATTCAATAATTATATTAATTTATAATAAAAATTAACAATGAATAAATGGCTCATAAATAAAAGACCTCTTGAGGATGATGATCAAAATTCTGGACCATCAACTTCACAAAATATAAGTATACCTAAATGTTTTGATACTTATGAGCTGCACAAGGGAAAAATTAAAAAATTCGAAAAGCTGATAAATGTCTCTAAATCTAAAAAAAGAAAATATGACGAGTTGTACTTAAAATTAGGTTTTACTTGGACTGGAAGCTTGGACGAGCCTAATGCACAGTGCGTGGTTTGTTCTGAAATATTATCAAACAATTCTATGAAACCATCATTTTTAAAACGCCATTTAGAAAGTAAACATAAAAATGTAGTAAATAAGGAGTTACAGTACTTTGAACGTCTTTTAGAAAATCTTAAAAATAGGAAAAACAATATAAAACAGTTTTCTGGTGCAGAACGAAATGAAAATGCACTAAAAGCTTCTTATAAAGTAAGTCATTTGATTGCAAAGTCTGGGAAAAACCACACTATTGGCGAAAACTTAATCCTTCCAGCCGCAGTAGAAATTATTTCTTGCATGCTTGGAGAAAAAGAGGCAAAAATAATTAAAACAATTCCATTATCAAATGATACAGTTTCAAGGAGAATCAATGATATGGCGTATGACACAAAAGAACAACTTGTTCGAAGAATTCGAGGTAGCCCTTGCTTTGGGATACAACTCGACGAAAGCACGGATGTCGCTGGCCTAGCCCAACTGATCGTTTTCGTTCGTGGTATATTCCAAGATGAAGTATTTGAAGATCGTTTATTTTGTAAGACACTTAAAACGTCTACAAAAGGTGAAGATATTTTCAAATTGCTAGATCCTTTTTTTTCTGAACACCAGCTTGAATGGAAAAATTGTGTGTCAGTGTGTATAGATGGTGCCAAGGCTATGAGCGGTCACATCACAGGGCTGGTAAGCCATATTAAAAAAGTTTCAACTGAGTGTAAGTTCACTCATTGTGTTCTTCACCGAGAGGCTTTGGCAGCTAAGCACCTCTCTGAGGAACTTAAAGAAGTCCTTGATCAGAGTGTAAAAATTGTAAACTTCATCAAAACTAGGCCTCAAAAATCTCGCTACTTTAAAATTCTATGTCAGGAGATGGGGAGCCTTCATGAAAATTTATTGCTTCACACTGAAGTACGATGGCTATCACGGGGAAACGTTTTGTCCCGTGTGTTTGAACTCCGCGAAGAATTGCATATTTTTTTTATCGAACACAAATCGCATTTTTCTTCAGTAATTAATGAATTTAATTGGCTTTTAAAGTTGGCTTATTTAAGTGATATTTTTGAAAAACTCAACATCTGGAATTTTTCCATGCAGGGCAGTATTTCTGATATTTTTCATGTAGAAAAAAAAACCAATGCAATGATTAAAAAAATCACTCTCTGGGAAAAAGAAATACAAACAAATAACTGTGAGCCGTTTGAAAGATTGAACATATTTTTGCAAGATAATAAGAAAAATTTATCTAATTTTACTGAACTCAAGACTCAAATGGTCCAGCACTTGAATGCACTGAAGATCCGTATAAGAGAGTATTTTCCGCCTTTGGAAAAACAATATGACTGGATACGTGATCCCTTTGATGTTGATGCTACAGACACTAACCTGACTACTTTTGAAAAAGAGCAGCTCATTGAAGTCTCGTGTGATCCCTCGATGAAAAACAAATTCTTAAATTCTGGTACTACATTGTTAGATTTTTGGATCTATGTTGGAAAGGAACAAAAAGAACTGTCTAGCATGGCTGTCAAATTTCTTGTTGGATTTTCCACCACTTATTTATGTGAAAGAGGTTTTTCAAGTTTAACTTATGTTAAATGTAAATATAGAAATAAATTAAATGTCGAAGATGATTTAAGATTGTATTTAACTAAATTAGAACCCAATATTGATAAACTGTGCCAACAGAAACAAGCTCACGCATCTCACTAATTTCTTTGAAAATAAACACTTATAGTTTTTAAAATTTTTTGTATATTAGTATTTAATAACTTAATCATAATGAAATAATAATGTATGTAAGTCTTTAAATTTTTTTATATATATTTTAGTTTAGTAACTAAGATGGGGTACCCAAAAAAATTTGTTGATAAAAAGGGGTACAGTGTTTATAAAAGTTTGAGAATCCCTGGTCTATACGACCGATGTCCCATCTAATTTAATGGAATGATGGGAAATCCATTTTTTGTGGACAGGTTGTATGATCGGTGACAAACGTCCGACATATTTCATTTGACATTTGGACGCCGTTCGAGTAAGTAAACGTATTTAATTGCTTATTATAGGTACCTTCTTATACTGGCCTTGTGTCCCGTTTTTTTTTTTTTAAGCTATTGCATAGCTTTTATCGCAGGCCTGGTGTGGTGACTGAAAAAAAATTTTTCGTAACGAAAAAGCGTGACCACTACCTGCGGAATCCCGTAATCCCCCTCTCTGCCTACCGCGCGGCGACCCGTATTGTAATACCGTGCTATCTGCGGTCAAAGGTCTATTGTTTGCAGATATATTTGCAAGGTATAATAATGTACCTATAATTATACAGTTCATATTACCTATATAATATACATTTATATCTGGATATGATAAAATTACACAGTGTATGAGACATGCTGCGTTATCTTTTTTTTTTTTATTAATTTATTATTTTATTATTCACTTATCTACCAACAAAACAAACTCATTTTGTCAAATTTGTGCACACCAGGGTAATGCTGGAAGTGTTATTATAATATAATATAATATAAAAAAAAAATGGAAAGTGAAGGAAGTGCATCTGGTGAAGAAATAGTGCAAGAAAATTAGTGAGTATTTTATAAAAATTCATATATACCTACACATTATATATATTATACAGTGTCCCACAGAGATCTGATATTCTGACAAATGAAATAACTTTTGTTCTAATCAATTTTTTTAAAAAATTTCTTTTGAATATAATTCGTAGACACTTGCGCTACATTTTTAGAATACATTTTTTATTTTTTATTTTTTAATACTGAAAATAAAAAACTTAAAAATTGATAAAATTTTTTTTCGAAATATTCAATATAGCCAATTTGTAAATCTGATTTTTAGAAAAATTTATATGGTAAAAACACTTATTTAAGTAAAATGGCTGATTTTTTACAATTGTTTTAAATATCAATATTTGGAACATTTCTACTTTACGGGACACCCCTTTTTATGGACATTTTTTGCGGGAACTTAGTCATATTTTTGACGAAAAAAATGATGCTGAAATCAGAATTTGGCGCACGAACTTACTTTCAGAGTTATAGCTAGTTGAAGTTTTCTGTTTATTCTGTTTATACTATAATCCTTAAATACCCATTTTGCATTTAAAAGACTATCGTTGAATTGTGTGCAGACAAAAGCTCAAAGTGTCTTAGATTTTATTAGAAATAGAAATGGAGTTTCAATAATGACTTTCAATTGCCAAAGTCTTAACAGTCACAAATACGATTTACAAGATTACGTAACTAGACAAACAAATGTGTTACTTCCAAGCGAAACATGCATGTCAAATGATTACCTATCCGATTGACATACCTAATTTCAATTGCATCGTTCATTTCAAACGAGATACTGTTTCAAAGGGTGGGGTAACCATTTACCAAAATAATAATGATACTATCAATAATATGACTCCGAATATTGATATAAATGTGGCAAATGTTGTAGATTTAAATGTTAGACACTCAAATGTTGGAGATATTTGTGGGTGCTTATGCAAACTGCAAAATGGCCTAGAAATAGTCATTGTAGTCATTTACATTACTCCAAATCCAAAATTGGACGAGGTAGAATATTTTATTCATCGCACTTTACTGGAGTACACTGTAGAAGGGTCAAAAATACTTGGTGGAAATTCCCATAAATTTCCACTTATCTTGGCTGGCGATTTCAACATTAACTTCGCTGATAAAAAATCAGAGCGACTAACAACGTTTCTCTTAGAAAAATTAAATGTACGTATAAATAATGATCCACAAGAATCTACTACAAAATATGAGACCCCCATCGACGCCGTATTTTCCAGATATTTGGAGAATATTAAATCTCAAACTTATATTTCATATTTTAGTTATCATAAGCCTATAGTTTCTATGATACAAATTCCTAAATAACTAGAATAATAAAAAAATTTAAAATTATATCAACTTCTTATTTAGGTACCTATTTAATATGCAATAGCTTTATCGCGGCAGTCCCCGAGTGCCACTTGCCTTTTTTTATGTTAGTTTAACTTGCTTGAGTAAAATAATTTATGCTCAAACACTTTTTAATACTTATAGAATATATTTAATTGTATCTCGATCAATATTTAAACACCCCTTTATATAATAAAATTTCGTTCAATTATTTATGATGCCTGAATGTATGACTATCGGCACGTGTGCATTTGAATGAATGTAAATCGTATTCCGTAGTAAATTTTAGTTGACCAGATTAAATAGTGCGCTGTTCGTAATTGGTTTTTATAAATATTTTAGGAAATTATCTGTGCATTATTATTTTATATTTTACATTACACATACACATAGTTCGTTTAAAAATTAAAATGTCGTAAAAAATTGATCGAGAGGACACAGATTATCTTCTTATATTAGCTTTCAATTAATTATACTAATAGTTGAGTTCACCGTAAAACTAATATATAGCACACTATTGAAACCGTCGAACGAAAATTAACTATATCGCACATGTATAAGACGGAGACAACATAATATTATGCGGTTATCTTCTTAACTGGCCACAGCACGTCTGTAGAATATTATGTGTTTGAAAACTCAAGCTTTTGTTGAATTAACCTTACCTAATATTCTATGATTACTGTATGTCGTGTGTTCCGATTTTCTTTTTAGCACATGACTACCAATGTTCAATAACCGTCTCGTAACTTTTTTATAACTCTATATATATTTTTTCATTATATTATGTTTGATTTTTTTTTCATTATATTATATTTAATTTACGCGGGTGAAATATGATTTTCTTTTACTGTTTTTCTTTTAATAGTGTGCTATTTGTTGTAGTTTTCGAGTGAATTTACCTATAAGGTATTATCGAATTGTCATGTGGTAAGAAAATTATCTGTGCATCATTGTTTTATTTTTGACATAACTGTCCTAACTCGCTTAAAATTTGTAATATTGTAAATAGTCGATCGAGAGAACATAGATAATTTTGCAGGTGTGTAAGACGGAGACAATATAATATTATGCGGGTATCCACTTAATTGGACCACGTAACACGCGTCTGTAGAATATTATGTGTTTGAAAACTCAAGCTTTTGTTTAATTAACTTTACCTAATATTCTATGATTACTGTACGTCATGTGTTCTGATTTTGTTTTTGGCACAAATCTAATTTGTGTTTAATTGTGTTTGTTAATTCACTACCAATATTCACTAACCTTCCCGTAACTTTTTTATAATTAGGGGAAACTTGGGTTAGATGCGACACCTAACTTTAATTGCATTTAATGGGTTGATTATTTATTTTATTGATAAAACAAAGACTTACAAAATATGTAAAATTATATGTAGTTTCTAAATATTCAATCATCTTTGTTACATAACAATTCATTATGCACATATTTGCACATAACTTAAAATTGGGTTTTGTACCATCATGGACCATAGTAGAGGTAAGATGGAACAAGAGTAGGGTAAGATGAGACATAGATTTTTATTCATAATAATTACTCTTTATTTTTATCATATAATATGTAATAACTCATTGTTATTGTTTTTTTTTATTATTAATGTAAAAATACATTAATCATGTTAATTTGATGTAGGTACATCAATATTTGTCAGGAAAAGGAGAATTGTATATTGTATTAAGTATCAAATATCTAAGCAACAGAGCTTGTCATATATGTTAGATTATATGTATAACTTCTACTTTAGGATACTAGGTATAATCATAGAACACTAAACAGGATAAACAAATCTGAATTATATTATTCAAATTTAAAACAAAATAAAATATAGGAATAAATATACCTATTTAACTTTTTAAAATATATAAAACTACAAACATAAATATTCAACTTTTCAAATACCTATATAAAATTACAAACATAATGATTCACTTTTTAAAATATATAAAAATACAAACATATTTATTAACTTATCAAATCTGAATTATATTATTCATATTTAAAACAAAACAAAATATAGGAATACATATACCTATTTAACTTTTTAAAATATATACAACTACAAACATAACTATTAACTTATCAAATTTAAAACAAAACAAAATATAGGAATAAACATAACTTTTTAACTTTTTAAAATATATAAAAACACAAACATAATACATTTTTTAAGTCTATGGATAACTAATTACAATAATAATTAACATAATAGTACTTCAGGTTTACAAATATCACAAATATGGTATAATTCTTTATCACTATCATCTTCACCTGCGCATGAGGAATGTGCCCATTTTTCACATACCCTACACTGTACCCAGCCTTCTATCGATGTTGAGTATGATTCTCCACAATACAAGCATTCAGCATCATTTTCATCAGATGACTTTTTTTTTTCAGTCTTTCTTTTCTTAGATTTATTTTCTGTATCACTTTTCTTAGTTTTATATCAGTCTTATTTTTTTTAGGAAATAAATTTTTCTTTACATATTTTTGTTTGGGAAGCCTTCGTCTTTTTAATTTTGCAAATCGTTTTTGTATGGAGAACTTGTTAAAATTACAGTTTTACCACGACGAATATTTTTTCTTTTTCTTTGCTTACTTTCGTTAGATTTTTGAGGCATAGTCATTATATCTTTAGGAGATACTTTTTCAAAACTAGTTGATGGAACCGGCATATTTTTGTTTTTGGCGTTGATAAGATTACTGGATTTACATAAGATTCAAATTGAATATCAGCTAACATTTCTATTTGGATATCTT